CAGCGTGGTCAGCTTCGTCTTGCTTACGTGGCCTCTCGGGCCAGTACTGCTGATATATTCATCAAGGCACTTCAGCCTTGTGATCATCAGCGTTTCTGTACTGTTTTAGGCCTTGTGGCTACTTGGTCTCACTTGTTCACTTCTTGACTTTGCTTGTACTGTGATCTATATACTTATACCTGCATGCTTACACTTGCTAGGTTGCTTTTTCTCCATTATATAACTCTGCATGTGAACTGGCCTTGTGGCCATTTGCTTGTGCTCAGAGTGTGTGGTGACTTCGTGATCCACCTTGAGCTTGCTTTGCTTTTCTTGATTGGTCTTGTGACCCCTTGTTCTTCCCCACTTTGCCTATGGGGGTGTGTCAAACTATCATGTTGTGTGTGTTGTGTATGCTGTAGTGGGGTAGCCCATATGGGGTACAACCCAATTAGGGTTAGTACTTGTACCACATTTCTGTTCAATGCATTCATTCTCGCTTAGTCTTCGGACACATTACTGTACGAACCTGTCGACGCCATCATCTTCGTCGAGCAGCCGCACGCCTTCGAAGAAAGTGACGGTGCTGTTGTTCAGGATCCGTCACTTTGAGAGCTTACGATGAACTCATTACTCAACTAAACGCAAATCCGCTCGGTAGGCAGTTGCGCCTTAGGCTAAGCTACCATCTCCAAGTTGAATCAGTTGTTAAGATTATCTATAGAGTGAGAACCAAGTAAAAACGTCCAGCAGCCGCAAGAGTAGGATGGTGGAGGAAGTACAAGCATTAAGGCATAGTAAGTTGGAGTTGGGAACCTCCAAGAGAACCATGAGAGGGAAGGGGTTCTCCAAGAGCTAGGGAAGGATGGTAAGAACCTTCCTAGCAGCAAGGATGCAACCCTCATCATGAGGTCCTTGAGGTGTCACATGCAAAATCCAATCCAGTTGGATTTTGCCTAGGTGTTGCAACATTTGCAACCCATGCTATAAACTTCTAGCCACCCCAATCCAAAAGTCAAAGTTGCCTTCCCTAACCACCTAACCAAAGATCCCTTTATATTCATATCCCAATATCACCTAATGTAGTTAATATCTCAAAATGAGATAGAATTCCCAAAACTTGGAAATCTTGTAACTTGGGCGATCTTGGTCGGAATAAGGCGATCTTGGTCGGAATAAGGCGATCTTGGTCGGAATAAGGCGATCTTGGTATCGTTGGAAAGCTCTGGATTTCTCCTGCATGATGAAGCATTTAAACTTGGAGAAAAATGTCAGAATGTTATGATTGTCTAGCCTGCAGTGGGGTACTCCATAGTGAGTACAGCCCAATTAGGGTTTGCTATATGTATCCAACTGCTTGCTAGTGAAAACCCTCCTTTCTTCATTCTTGTTTCTCCTGCTAGTTCTGACATGGTTTCAGAGCAGGTCGACCCCCTTGGGTCGATCCTGCTGGTGGGCCCCACCCGATGCTTCCACTGCTCTACTGCTGTCGCGCGCCCCTGGCGCGTGACCCTTTCTTCCTGCCGCGCGCCCGGAGCGCGCGGCGTTTTTCATCCCGCCGTGCGCTCGGGGCGCGCGGCGGTTTTCTGCCCGCCGTGCGCCCCGAGGCGCGCGGCGGTTTTCTACCCCATGGATCCGCGCGCGCCCCCCCCCGCCATCCCGTCGCCAGTCGTGGCGCCCTCTTCCGTCGCCCGTCGTGGCGTCGCGGGGGCCGCGCGTCCCCCCTATCCCGTCGCCCGTCGAGGCGCCTCGGGGGCCGCGCGTCCCCCCCCTTCCGTCGCCCGTCGTGGCGCCACGGGGGCCGCGCGTCCCCCCCCCATTCGCGTCGTCACGTCGCGACGCCCTGGGTAGCCGCGTGCGGCCCCCGATTCCCCGTCGCGCCGCCCTGGGGAGCCGCGCGCGACCCCCCGCTGCCCCGTCGCGGCGCCCAGGGGAGCCGCGCGCGGCCCATCGCTGCCCCGTGGTGGCGCCCTGGGGGCCGCGCGCCGTCCCCCTCGCCGTCCCCCGCGCTCCTACCCCGTGCCACCCGTTTTAGGGTTTGGGGGTGAGGAGTGTGGGGGTGGCGGTTGTGGGGGTGCCGGTTGTGTGCGTCGTCCCCTACTCCTCCTCCTCCTCCCTCTCCCGCTGCTGCAGCTGCCGCTCAGGGGGGTGGGTGTGTGGGGAGCCGAAGGAGTGGTGCTAGGGGGGTGACGGGGGAGTGGAGCTAGGGGCGCAGCAGTGGGTGTTTGAAAGGGGTCTGCGACAGTTGGGGGAGGTTGCGCGGAGGTAGCCGTCGTGTCGCCAGCAGCGCCAGTAGTCCGGAGCCCTTGCTCTCGGTAGCTCAGCGAGCCTGCTGCGCCAGTCGCCCGTGGATCTGTTGCTCCTGCCGCTCGTCGTAGCCGCGGAGTCTGTTACTCCAGTAGTCCGGGGCCCTTGCTCCGGTAGCCACTGTGCCAGCCGCTTCTGTTGCCCGTGTGTCTGCAGCTTCAGTCGTCGCCTCCAATCTTCTCTCCTCTCAAATTCCCTCCTCCTCCTCACTTGCCCTCTGTGATTGCCTCTAGCTTTGCTTGTAATTGTGAACTATTACTATGCTTGCTTGTTGTGCTGATTACATCCCACTTTGGCTATGGGGGTGTGTCAGAATGTTATAATTGTCTAGCCTGCAGTGGGGTACTCCATAGTGAGTACAGCCCAATTAGGGTTTGCTATATGTATCCAACTGCTTGCTAGTGAAAACCCTCCTTTCTTCATTCTTGTTTCTCCTGCTAGTTCTGACAAAAAACGCAGAGATGATAATATCCAACAGCCATGTACAATGACATATGCTCATGCAAAACAATGCACGCATGAATAGCACGAGCACTCGGCAGGACGTTAGGATCACATGCACTCAGAATGACGTGCATCCAACAGGTGCCGTCTACCTTCTCCGGAAATCCCTCTACGGGATCAAACAAGCTCCTTGTCTATGGCAGCAGTACCTGCACACCATTCTCTTGGAGCTCGGATTCGCTCAGCTGCCGCACGACCAAGGAATGTACCGGAAGGAATCCCGCATCGACTCTATCAGCAGCAGCTGGGGTGTCTCCTGTTCGCCGCCGTCACGTGCTGGCCGGATCTTTCCTACATCGCAAGCCAGCTCGACTGTAACATACCAGCTCGAATGGTTATATCAGGGAATGTACCCCTCAGAGTACATGGCTAGCTAGATTTGCTATTTAAATCCCTTGTATCTCTATCTTTATCATCTTGTTCTCTTAATCATTATCAACAAGGTCATTACAAAGGCTTCCATATTCTTCTCACAAACTTGGATAGCTTATCCTATCAACTACGATTCTTGGTTATATCAACAATACGTATCACGATGCCTAGATAACTGCCGTGTAATTTTGCGATGTCACGAGGCAAGAACGCACAGGTATGTATTCCACACAACAGGAATCCTAGTGGGTTTTTTCTGGCAGAGGTAAGCTTCCTTAGAAGAACTTCAATTCATTATTGGGGAAAGCCAAGTTTGTAGTACCTTATGAAGCTCTTTGCTAGGTATTTGGTATTAGTGATAAATCCATATATAGGGCCTCACAACAAAGCAGTACATTGCAGTAACTACCGACCCCAAGTGCCGGTTGGAACCCGTCAGCCTACGTGGCCTTGGTTACTGATTGGTTCGCTCTCACGGTGCACAGCCCTGGGACTTCCGCGCCGCGGCTCTCTGCGGGTGCACTCCTGAACTGTAGTGACGACAATCTGGCCAGAAATCCCTGCAGGGAGGGAAGAACCCAACAAAACGAACCCTCCCTTAGTGCGCGTGTGATCTTTGAAATCTGCAAAAGTTTACATTTTTAGGTCGAATGTAGGATTCGTTCATATACCGAACAAAACTCGACTTTCCCTGAAGAGAAATACGAACCACGGGTCCCCAAATAAGATGAGTGACAATCACACACGCAAGGTCGAACACCAAAATTCGAACCCGTAGGTTACTCAGTACAGTCTTGAACAGCTCGCCACGTCAACGTACAGCCGTTTCCTGTTTCGCAATGCGTCGCGAAATTCGCATGGTCTTCGTGCCTACTGAAAACACGCACGCTCGCTTCAACGTGTACACGTACGTTCACCCATTCGACTCGAGTCGAGTTCACATTTGAAATTCGCACTTATGCGCGCCCAACATTTCTATGCCTTCGCCAGCGGGTTTCCGCGACATTTACGAAACGGGTAACCACCTAAAGTACGACCTGATTTCCGAACTTCATAAACTATCACACACGCCCTTGCCCCCAGTTACCTGTCACCAGTTGAGGTCATGATGAGTAAACCTCATTGCAACGTATAGAATGTTTTCAAACCGAACAGAACCGCGCGTGTTTGTAAGCGAGCTGCTCTTGACCTCTGGAATCAAACATAGAATTGACTCTACGCAAAATCAAATATATTGTGGCATGAGTTGTCTCAACTGCACACTAGCCGATCACCGTGACTTACGGCGTGTAAAACGGGCAAGTAAGGAATGGGGACGTTAAGCAGGTGGCAGCCAGGTGGAACTAGCGTCTGCGCGCTGTCGCTTCTGTAAGGTCGATAGCGCTTCAGCGTTTTAGGGTTTGCGGCGTTTGACTGTCCCCTCTGTTCAACTTGAACTACCTATTAACTTAATTGTAAAAGATGGTCTCTACTCCGCATCGGATCAATTTGAGGCTCCGACGGATCACTCTGTAGTCCGCAACAATATCAGCTTATTGCAGATCACTTTGAGTTCGTTACAGTTCCTTCGCGCTTCGTGAAGGATTATCTGCAACTCGTAACGTGTCATCTGAAAGCCGTGACAGATGGAACCACGCGAGGAGGAGCACCAGCCGTTGATTGTTCCCGGTTTCATCCGAGGAACGGCAAGTGGCAACCGCAGCGGCGGGTCCTCCTGGGCCATAGGATCATCGTCAGATGCGGCCGTAGGATTCCCCTCACCACCCGTATTTGAAGCATCGGGAACCGTTGGATTAGCACCAGTGATAGGTTCGGGAACGACAGTACCCCCTGTCCAGATGGCACGTTCTCCGCATTCCACGTCAGCATCGAACTGGGCCTTCCATGCAGAATCCGCAGACAGGGACAGTCGGAGCCCGTCCACGGCGCCAATCGCGGCGCCTGTTGCGCCGGTTGCGGCGTACAACAGGCACGAGGCGGTCGCGTTCACCGTTGACATGCGCGGCGAAGGGACGGCAGGCGTTGGGCCAGCAGGAGGGGGTGCTGATCCAGCTGATAGCCTGGAGCAGGTACGGACAGCGGACGATGGCGAGGGCAATGCCGAGAGGGACGAGCGTGGGGAGAGGGTCGAGCGTGGGGAGAGGGACGAGCGTGGGAGAGAGAGAGAGGGGGTGAGGGAGAGTGGGAGAGGGTGAGAGGGAGATTGGGCGAGGGAGAGTGGGAGACAGTGAGGGAAACAGAATGGGAGCCGGAGGCAGTCGGAGATTGAAATAGATTGGATGTTTGCTGTGGAACCAACTTAAGGACGCCATGTGGAAGTCCGTCCGTCCATCCGTGCGAGCGCACAAACACACATATTTCTATCTAGCGCTTGCTTGCTTACTCACTCGGAGGAGGGCAGGAAAGGAGGGCAGATTCTGTCGTTTCCTTGCCCCTTGCCTGCTCTCCTGCTCTCCCATTCATGTAACACCGAGTCACATCCTTCCTTTGCAACCACCCGCGCTTCCTGCCTAGTCCGCCTCCGCACGCTCATGTGTCTGTCTGGCTCTCCGCCTCACAGCCCCGCCCCCCTGCGCCGTCTTGACGTGCGTGATGCGCCCATGGGATCGTCACATCCGTGATTCTGTTCCGCCTCATCTCACCACCCCCCTTCTCCCCACTAACCTCTGCAACCCCTACCCCATTTTAAGTTACAACCACCCCAACGGTCAACCCCAACAACCCTCATATCTTCGTTTCTCCGTTTCCCCAATAACGGGCATCCCTGAGGGCCATTCTGCCTCTGACAGGCGAGGCGAGCGAGTCCGCGTCCATTCTGATGTTTTCGCGCCTTCATCCATCCGCCCAGGGTGCCCATGCTGCCGCAAAGGCTCCGCCTCTGACAACTCGCTCGCCTCACATCACAGCACCACCTGTTGCCCCATCGCCAGGCAGCCCCCAGAACCTCACAACCCCGTCAACCCTCCCTTACCCCTCCTCCCCTCCCCCATCCTTCTCTCACCCCCCCTCTTCCCCTCTTTTCCCCCTCCCCCCCCCCCCCAGCCCCTTCACACCGCCCTCCTGGCACCACTCGAGTCCCCAGAGCTGAGGGCCATTCTGCACAAATCCGCATCCACGCTGCGATTCGAGTCCATTCGCCCGCCGCCGCAAGGGCTCCGGTTCTGACGATTCCCTCTCCTCGCAGCACCACCTGCTGCCCCTTTTGGCAGTAGGCCATTTGGCCCCCCTGTAACCACCACAATTCTCCCCTTCCCCCTCCCCTGCATCCTCCTACTCCCCTCACCTCCCCGTTCCCCATCCTCTCTCCCACCAGCCCCTCCAATCCGCCCGCCTGGCACCTCTAGAATCCCCCGAGCTGAGGGCCATTCTGCACAAGTCCGCCTCCATGCTGCGCTTTGAGTCCATCCGCCGCCGCAAGGGGTCCGGATCAGACGACTCCCTCGCCTCGCAGCAGCACCTGCTGCGCCCGGGGCGGCGGCAGCGTTGGGAGTGGGCGGCGCAGTTTGTCTCGGGCTGACAGTGGGGGGAGTGCGGGGAGCTTTGGCAGTGTGGGAGGGGGAGGGGGGAGTGGGAGTAACAGCTTGAATGTGACTCCGGAGAGTAGCTTTCACCGCGGGGATATGTACAGCGGGAGTATGTTCGAGGTGAGCAAAGCTGCGTGGGACTTTTGAAATGCATGGGATGCTGGTGATGCTTGGTGGGGATGCTGGTGATGCTTGGTGGGGATGCTGGTGATGCTCGGTGGGGATGCTGGTGATGCTTGGTGGGGATGCGCTTGGGAGTATGTTCGAGGTGAGTGAACCTCCTTGGGATGCTTGGTTGGAATGTGCCTGCTTGCTGTGGATCCATGCTGTTTGTTCTGCATTCTCTACTGTCTCACTGACCCTTCTCCCATCCCATCCCTTCCCATCCTTTCCCATCCCTCCCTCCCCTCTCATCCTACCCCATCCCATCCCTTCCCTCCCCTTCCCTCCCATCCCATCCCATCTCATCCCATCCCATCCCATCCCATCCCATCCCATCCCATCCCATCCCATCCCATCCCATCCCATCCCATCCCATCCCATCCCATCCCATCCCACCTCATCCCATCCCATCCCATCCCATCCCATCTCATCCCACCCCACCCCACCCGACCCCATCCCACCCCACCCCATCCCATCCCATCCCATCCCATCCCATCCCATCCCATCCCATCCCATCCCATCCCTTCCCATCCCATCCCACCCATCCCATCAAACCCCATCCCACCCCACTCGACCGCATCCCATCCTGACTTCAGGCCATCTCAGAGGTGCCGCCATCGAGCGAGGCAGCAGGGGAGGGCGAGGGGGGCGAGGGCGGGCCAGATTCGGTGTATCTGTCGGACTGGGTGATCAACCCGCAGGCATCGCTGTACCAGCAGTTCCAGGCGGCGCTGCTGCTGCTGGCCATCCTCATCGGCATCATTGAGCCCTTCAATGTGGCGTTCCTCGACACAGAGAACGTCTTCACGCCAGTCAACGTCTTCATCTATTGCACCGACGCCGTGAGTGCTTAATGCGGGGTTTAAGTGCGGGATGGGGTGGGCCGTGCCATAGAGTGGAGTCCTTATGATCAGGGCAGCAGAGTTACCCTGAGCCACGCGCTTCCCCTCTCCGCTTCTTATGCACACTGATTCCCTCTTTTTCCCGCCTGATCATGCTCATTGCCTAGCCCCCTGCTACCACATGTGTTGCGAGCGTTTCTTGTGTGCTCCGCTCTGTGTCTCTGCCTCTCATCGCCCCTTCCCCAACCCCTCCTTGCGCCATCCTCTCCTTGAGGTCCTGAGCAAAGCGCTGCTCTTTGTTTTGATGGCACACACTCTCATTTCATGTGCTTCCCTTTGTGTCTCTGCCTCAGTTTTCCTCACCCCCCTTTGCCACCCGGCGCCCTCTCTCAGCCCACCTCGCCCCTCTTCGCCCCCCCCCTCACCCTCCCTCGACCTCCTTCCCCCCCCTTCGTCCTCCGCTTTGCCCCCGTTGCCCCTTCTCGCCTCTTCTCGCCCCGCAGGTGTTTCTGAGCGACGTGCTGCTCTCCTTCTTCGTGCCCGAGTTCCGAATGGGCGAGTGGAAGACCAGCCTCGCCAGCATTGCTGTCGAGTAAGCATGTGTACTCTTTCTCATTTTCTTAAGCGCCACTTACATTACACACGCACGTTCCCACTGCTGCTGAGTGTGACCATCCATATGCGGTTCTTATAATTACCGCTTTTTTCTTCTCTACCTTTTTCCCCCCTTTCTCCTCTCATGTCTCTTCTCTTCCTCTCCCCCCTCAGGTACCTACGGGGCATGTTCTGGTACGACATCCTGGCAGCGCTGCCATGGGATCTGGTGCTCAAGGGCGTGTATCAGCCCACCGGCACCGCTGCTGTCGCCCTCTCCGCCTTCGGCCTGCTGCGACTGCTGCGCCTCATCCGCCTGTGAGTGAGGGCCGCCTGTGAGGGCCACCTGCTTGTGAGGGCCGCCTACATATGAGGGCCACCTGCTTGTGAGGGCTGTGAGGGCCGCCTGCCTGCGAGGGCCACCTGCTTGTGAGGGCCGCCTGCCTGTGAGGGCCGCCTGCCTGTGAGGGCCACCTTCATGTGAGGGCCGCCTGCCTGTCAGGGAGGGCTGCCTGTGGTCGCGGTGCGCTTTGACGTCCTCTGTGATACACCTCATCTCATCCCATCGCTCCCCTCTGCTCAACCCCATCCATCGCCCCTCTCTCTTCATGATTAACTTTCTGCCATCACTCCCGCCTTCTCCGTGCCTTGCCTTTCAGGCAGAACTTCCTCCATGACGGTTATGCGCTCTGACTTCCCCTCTCAATGCCCCTCTGCTCAACCCGATCGCTTCCCCGCGTCCATGCCTGCCAGGTGGAACGTCCAGGTGGAACGTGCTGTTGGACGTGGCGGTGCACGTGCGCTATGAGGACTACATCTGTGGCTCACTGCACTCCGTACCCACGTGTGTGTGTGTGGCGCATTCACCTCTTCCCCCCCTTCCCAGCTGGAACGTGCTGTGGGACATGGCAGTGGACGTGCGGTACGACTACATCTCCACCAGTGTGCACAAGTTCGCCCTCCTCATCCTCTTCGCCGCCCACTGGTCCGCCTGTGTCTTCTTCCTCCTCGCGCGCGTGCGCAACTTCAGCGAAGACACGGTGAGTTGCGTGCTGCATGTTGTGTGGCGTGATTGTGACTCCGTCACTCAAGAAGACTCGGTTGAAAAACGACACAGAGGAGGGATGAGAAACCGAGGGCAGACAGAGGAGGAGTTTGGCCTTTCTTGTGAAGTGACAGAAGGGCGCGCTACTCAACAAATCAGTTCCCTTCTCCCTGCGCCCTCCACTCCTTGCCCCTCTTCTCTGCCCATTAGTCAAAAGCGTGGTCAAAATCTCAGGAGTCACTTCACAAGAAAGACCGAACCCCTCCTCTGTCTGCCTTCTGTTTCTCATCCCTCCTCTCTGTCCGTTTTTTAACCAAGTCTTCATGAGTGCCGGAGTCACAATCACGCTGCATGGTTGATTGTGACTGTGCTGCCAGGCATGGTGGGCTGTGTGCTGCCAGGCATGGTGGGCTGTGTGCTGCCAGGCATGGTGGGCTGTGTGCTGCCAGGCATGGTGGGCTGTGTGCTGCCAGGCATGGTGGGCTGTGTGCTGCCAGGCATGGTGGGCTGTGTGCTGCCAGGCATGGTGGGCTGTATGTCACGCCTCTTTGCCCACCAAGTTGTGTGCTGGCTCTTCCCCGCGCCCCCCCTCATCTCTCTCTTTCCTCTTTTCTCCCTTCCTCCCGCTTCACCACCCTCTTAATTGCATCCTCGTCCCCCTCCCAAACGTCGTTCTCCTCCACCTCCTGCTGCTCATTCCCCCATCCCAGTGGGTGGGGCACTGTGAGCCCGACCTGCCTCTGCGCCCTCCACTCGACGCCTATGTCACCTCCATCTACTGGTGCGCTGCTATCTGTTCCCCGGTTTACCCCACCCTCAGTATTTGATTCCGATGTGCAGTCGCCTACTGTCCTGGCATTTTAGCAGACCAGTTTCTGAAATGACCCAATGAAGGAAGGCACCCGTTGCGCTTTCTGTTTATCCCAACCCAACGACTTGTCAATAGCCCCTTTGGTTCGCTTTCGCCTAGCATCACATGGTTGCCACGGTTTAGCTTATGTGATCCATGTCTTCTCGTCTGCATGGAATGCTACAATCGGAAACAGCACTTGGTGATAGAATTGGAACTGAACTGATTGATTGATAAGGAAGGCACTAGGCCTTAAGTACAAACACGGTTGGGTTGAGCAAAGCTAGGGAAAGGATGGGATGGGAGTCCTAGCAAATCTCCAATTGGTGAGTTGGCAGATTTGCAGGATTACAAGGGAATCCCAACCAGATAGGGTTGGGATTACAAATCTACACCCAACCTACAAAGTAACCTAACCGATATAGAATATAGTACAAAGTGTTGACTGACTATTTCTAACACACCCCCTCGGCTGACAACACTTCAGCCACATGGTGGCCCAACACCCATGGACGAGAGGAGGCGGTAGTGGTCTTGGCGAACAAGAGACTTGGTAAACAAGCCAGCAAGGTTGCAGTCGGAGGCAATGTGTTCAGCCTTCAGCTGCTCGCGCTGCATCAGCTCACGAAGAAAGTAGTGACGGACCTCAATGTGCTTGGTGCGGCCGTGGAAGACGGGGTCCTTTGTGAGATGAATGGTGCTCTCGTTGTCACACCAAAGCGTTGGGGCTGGTTGAGGATACCCAAGTTCTGCCAGCAAGAAGGAGAGCCAACGGGCCTCCTGGGCAGCCATGGTCCCCGCATACAGCTCTGCCTCACAGGTCAACAGTGAGACGGAGGACGACCGAGTGGAGCGCCAACTGACAACCCCACTGCCAAGGGTAAAGCAATATCCTTGGGAAGAGCGCCGATCACTCTGGTCATCAGCATAGGACGAGTCACTGTACCCTTCAAGGCGAGCAGGGGAAGAGCCGCCAAGAGTGAGCACATAGTCCTGTGTGCCTTTGAGATAGCGGAGGACCCGCTTGGCGGCAGACCAGTGGTGGCTCGTGAAGCGACCAGGTGCAACGTAGCGAGAAAGGACACTGACTGGGTAGGCCAAGTCTGGTCGAGTGCACATCATCGCGTACATGAGGGAACCAACGAGCTCGGGGTAAGCCTCATCACAGGGCTCAGGTGAGGGAACAGAGGGTGCAGTGAGTTGGTGCTGCAGAGAAAGTGGGGTGGGCATTGAAGCTGCTTCCTGCATCTTGAACCTGGTCAGAACGTTGTTGATGTAGAACTTCTGCGAGAGGGTGATGGTGCGGGCCGTGCGATCACATGTGATTTCCATGCCTAGATAGTTCGTCAGCTTCCCAAGATCCTTCATGGCCAGCTTCTCACCAAGTGCGGTTTTGACTGCTGCCAGCTCAGTCTGATCCTTGGTGACAAGGATCATGTCATCGACATAAACCAAGATGAAGAAGCGGGATGGTGTTGCTCGGATGAAGAGGCTGGGGTTAGAGGTGGATGGGTGAAATTCGAGGGACCCTAAGGTGCTCTTGAGCTTGTTGTGCCATTCCCGGGGTGCTTGCTTGAGGCCATATACTGGTCGATTCAGCTTCTATACAGTGTCTGGTGGAAAAGGAGCTGGAAATCCTTCGGGACGCTCCATGTAGATTTCCTCTCGAAGGATCCCTTGCAGAAACGCAGAAGACACATCAATGCAGTCAACCTCCATGTCATCTCGAGCTGCAACATCGAGAAGGGTGCGCAGTGTGGGAGGTTTGGCGGTGGGAGAGAATGTCTCAAAGAAGTCCAGTCCATGCTGTTGGGTAAATCCCTTGGCACAGTACCGGGCTTTGAAGACAGGAAATTCGCCTGGAAGTTGTTTCACCCGGAAAGCCCATTTTCCCTTCACAATGTTGACGCCGGAGGGAGGAGAGACATCTGTGAAAGTTCCTGTGTGAATGAAGGCCTCACACTCTGCGACAATGGCCCCTAGCCACTGAGCGGCGTGAGGACCAGAAACTGCTTCAGCATAGGTGAGAGGTATGGGGATGGAGGGGTTGTCGGAGAAGTTGAGGGTGGGAGATTCTGCGATATCTGGAAAGAGGGAGCAGAGCGCGTGTATGGCTGAGTCGATGTCAATCAACTCCTCATGTCTGTCCTCAAGAAGGGACGGCATGAGCGAATAATCACCCTCGACAGGAGGAGGATTGAGAGAGACACGAATGGAACGGGAAAGAGGCTTGGGAGCTTTGTGTGAGCGGGTGCGACCAGCGATGGGGGAGGGAGGCGGAGCTGGAGGAGGAGAAGCAGTAGGTGTAGTGGCAGCATCAGGGACAGCAGCTGGATCAGGAGCAGGAGCAGCAGCAGGAGGACGGCGCTGGTAGGTTATGAGAGGAATGGGCTCGGGGGCGGGAAGGAGCGGGGAAGACTGCGTGGTGCTGGAGGGGGAAGCGGGTGACGGGGGGTCGGAAACAGTGGGGGGAGCGGGAAGAGGAGGAGATGGAGTGGCGGGAGGAGGAAGACTGTCAAAGTCAGCCCAAGTGAGAGAAGGAGGAGGAGGAGAGGGGGCAGCTTTGGAAGAGGGGTAGAATGGGTGAGACTCATCAAAGAAAACGTCACGGCTGCGATAGAGCTTGTTGGTGGAAGGATGGAGGAAGAGATAGTCCAGCGAGTCTGAGTTGTGCCCGAGGTATACGCACGTGACTGTTTTGGGAGCAAGTTTGCCGCCAGCTGCACGACGGGCTTGGGAGTTGAGGAGGACATAGGAAGTGCACCCCCATACACGCAGAGGGCGGACGGACGGCTTTTGACCCGTCCACAGCTCAGCGGGGGTGGTGTGGGTGTGATGAGGATGAGGATGGAGATTGTGGAGGGCGGCAGCGTGGAGCATGGCGTACCCCCAAAGAGAGGGAGGGGCGGAGGCGTGAGTGAGGAGGCAGCGAGCAATCTGCACCAAAATTCCGGTTCCGACTCTCAGCAACACCGTTCTGTTGGGGACTGTCTGGAAGAGTGAAGGTCTGAAGGATACCCTCAGCAGAACAGAAAGCTTTGAGAGTGTTGTTGCGGAATTCACCGCCACCGTCAGAGTGAAGAACCTTGATGGAGGTTTTGAAGTGGTTGTGAGCCTGCTTGGCCCATTCGATGATGACGGCTGGGGCTTCAGATTTGGAGGAGACAAGGTGGACAGACACATAGCGGGAATAGTCATCAATGATGACGAGGAAGTAGAAGTGTCCGCCACGAGAACGAACGGGAGCGGGACCCCCAAGGTCCATGTGTACGCGATCGAGAGGTGCGGTAGAGATGGACTCGGTGGGAGGATGGGGCTGTTCCCGAAGCTTGCTTTGTGCACAGTCAAGGCAAGGCGGCCCAGAAAGAGAGGGAGGTTGTGGAAGTGAGGCGGGTAGTCCGTGAAGGAGTTGCTTGGAGGCAAGGTCTGAAAGGGCACGGAAGTTGATGTGGCCGAGGCGGTTATGATAGAGCATAGTTTTGTCAGTGAGGAGCGGGCAGTGACATGAAGGAGAGTCTGAGGATGGAAGCGGAAGGTTGGTGAGGGAGCATGTTTGAACGGGAGGTACAACTAGTGCGTACAGGTTGTTGGAGTTTAGGGTGAAGCGGGCAAGATGGAGTCCGGTTTTGGCGTCAAACATGTCACAGTGGTCAACGTCATTGGGAAAGATGGTGATCACGCCTGCGTGTTGGATTTCCTGCTGTGCAAGAAGGTTGTAGCGGAGGGTTGGGGCACAGATGCCAGTGACTGTGCCGGATGGGAAAGCTGGACAGGGAACTGTGGAGGACCCATGGCATTGGATGGAGAAGCTAGAATCGGCTCCAAGGAGTGAGGTGGGAGCCTGGTAGGGAACGAAGGCGGTTTGGTCTTTAAGCACTGTGTGGGTGGCACCACTGTCTAGTATGAACTCGATTCCCGGTGTGGTTGAAACATCGATGTACTGCGACCCCTTCTCATTAATAAGACCAGCACCAGAGAACAACAGGTTAAGGCGAACATCAGATGGGGCGCTAGCAAATGCCTGAGCAGGTTCCTCCACTGCCCCGACCTGGTTCACGCGACGGGGTGGTGCCCAGTTGGGAGGGCGCTTGTCCTTGGAGACACCATGGACGTCATACCACTCGTCATCTCGCTTCTTGAAGCAAGTTGCCTCAGGGTGGTTGGTGCCGTTGCATTTCTGCCCCGCACGTGGACCCTTCCTAATGAGGTACTGGCATGGGGGAAAGGAGTTGCGCCTCTGGCCCTGCTGGGAACGAAATGGGATACCAGGGGAGTAGCGCACAGCATTGACGGATACCTGGGCTGCAAGGTCCTTTTCGGCAGAGAGAAGGGCCGAAGCGACTTTCTCGATGGTGAGTTCCTTGGTGGGGAGATGCTTGAGCATGGAACTGGTGACGTTGTAGGCCGGGGTGAGTCCGACGAGAAGCCCAGCAGCAGGTGCCTTTTCGGGGAAGGTGATCCCAATGTCCTTGAGCTCCTCATGGATGTTGCGGATTTCAGAGATGTAGTCTGCCATGCCCGGGCATTCCTCAAGGCGGATTTGGAACATGCGAGGAATGAGGATTGCAACTCCCACGTCAGTTTTGTCATGAAAACGATCCTGGAGGTACTTCCAAATGTCATGCGCAGAGCGGAAGGTGCGGTAGGACTTGACTAACTCAACTGGGGTAGTGGTGATGAAAACCCTAATCACTGCCGCATCCGCCTTCTCCCAGAGACTGAAGTCCGTCTCATACTTGGTGGTCTTAGCATCGAAAGCACTCTTGGCTGTGGCAGTGGCGCCTTCGCCGAGAGGATCGGGAGGGAGAGGCATCTTCCCCTTGCCACGGTTGAGGAGGATGTCCTTGAGGCAAATCCCCTTGAGCTCCGAGCTAAGGAGGTGCTTCTCCACTCCATAGCACCAATCCCCGAAGTTGGTGCTCGTGCCGTTGGGAGCGAGGTTGAGGATGATGAGGTTTCCGACGAGGGTGGAAGTAGAAGTCGCCATTTCGCGCGGAGCACAGCGCTAAAGTCTCCGATACGTAGCGGAGCGAAGTCCGAAACGCGATTTTGGCAATAGAATGCCCGTATTATACCCTGCTATACTGCTTCGCTGATGCCCCCTGTTCTGCTTCGCTGCTGCCCCTATTCCGCTTCTCTGCTGCGCCGCTGACCTGTTCGGCTGCGCCGCTGGACCTGTTCCGCTGCGCCGCTGAACCTGTTCCGCTGCGCCGCTGAACCTGTTCTTCTGCGCCGCTGGACCTGTTCCGCTGCGCCGCTGAACCTGTTCTGCTGCGCCGCTGAAAACCTGTTCCGCTGCGCCGCTGGACCTGTTCCGCTGCGCCGCTGGACCTGTTCAAAGTTAAGAAGATGCAAAAATTGCCACGGAGATTGAAAAACCAGAAGCTTACGACGAAGGAAGTCGGAAGCTGAAAATGTCGCCGCTGAAAAACGAGATGCGCGATGAAGGAAGCCGAATGCGCGCTTGACCGGAGCGACGATGTGAAGTTTCTGAAAAACGCTAAGCGTAGGAGCCGGGAGCCGAAATAGGCATAGCCCAGAAGGAGAGAACCATCGGGACGCCAAGGATCGGATTCCGCGTGAGCGGAGTTTACTAGCTCTGATACCATGATAGAATTGGAACTGAACTGATTGATTGATAAGGAAGGCACTAGGCCTTAAGTACAAACACGGTTGGGTTGAGCATAGCTAGGGAAAGGATGGGATGGGAATCCTAGCAAATCTCCAATTGGTGAGTTGGCAGATTTGCAGGATTACGAGGGAATCCCAACCAGATAGGGTTGGGATTACAAATCTACACCCAACCTACAAAGTAACCTAACTGATATAGAATATAGTACAAAGTGTTGACTGACTATTTCCACCACTTGGCACGGTATACCAATCATGTGACATGTGTCTCTATCTGCCTGCATGCACCTGCTCACAGAACGTGCCTTTTTGCGTGTGTCTCCTTTGCCCCTCCAACCCCTCCTACTCTCTTGCATCATCGTCAACACCATTCTCATTGCCTCTGTGCCTGTCTTCCGCCATAAACTTGGTCCTCGTGGGACGATCATCGCCTCAACATGGGATGCGCGCTCTTACTTCGTACGGCGAAATTGGTTCGGTGCTTCTACTCTTCGCGCCATGTGCTGCTGGTCCCACCCTCTCCACCACAGGTCCTGCGCCATAACTGTTTGTGGGTGCATGAGAGCATGGATGAGAGCGCATGTGAGTGCATGTGAGTGCATGTGAGTGCATGTGAATGCATGTGAGTGCATGTGAGTGCATGTGAGTGCATGTGAGCGCATGTGAGCGCATGTGAGCGCATGTGAGTGCATGTGAGTGCATGTGAGTGCATGTGAGTGCATGTGAGTGCATGTGAGTGCATGTGAGTGCATGTGAGTGCATGTGAGTGCATGTGAGTGCATGTGCGTGCATGTGCGTGCATGTGCGTGCATGTGAGTGCATGTGAGTGCATGTGAGTGCATGTGAGTGCATGTGAGTGCATGTGAGTGCATGTGAGTGCATGTGAGTGCACGTGAGTGCACGTGAGTGCACGTGAGTGCACGTGAGTGCACGTGAGTGCACGTGAGTGCACGTGAGTGCACGTGAGTGCACGTGAGTGCACGTGAGTGCACGTGAGTGCACGTGAGTGCACGTGAGTGCACGTGAGTGCACGTGAGTGCACGTGAGTGCACGTGAGTGCATGTGAGTGCATGTGAGTGCATGTGAGTGCATGTGAGTGCATGTGAGTGCATGTGAGTGCATGTGAGCGCATGTGAGCGCATGTGAGCGCATGTGAGCGCATGTGAGTTCATCCATAAATTCGCTCTTCCTCACTTCTCAATTCACGAGCCCCTCACTTCAGCCCACCCTGCCTGTCAACAGGACTCCCAATCCCACTTGCTCAGTGCATTCACTCCCTTAATGTATGCAATCCCTTAGCGCTCCTGAATGAATTCTCTCTCTTTGCACGATCACCCCTTTAGTGCATCTCTCCCTCGGTGCATTCACTCGTTCAGAACATCCACTCAACCCACCACCCACCACTGCAGGCTACGGCGACTTGTCAGCCTTCACAGTACCGGAGCGCATCTGGGCAGCACTGTTCATGCTGGTGAATCTGGGCCTCACGGCGTACGTGCTGGGCAACATGACCGTGCTGCTCACCAAGGCCGACGCCCACACCGCCACCTACCGCGACCGCCTCAGCGCCATCAACAGGTGGGCCCTGCACGCTGTGTTTGTGGGGAGGAGATGGGGAGGCATAATGTGTGTGCGCAGGTATGTGTGCTTGTTGAGAGAAATGCAAGTGAAAGGTAGACATATAAGTGGGAAAGGATGGGCTCAACCAAAGCTGAGTTAGGCAGCATGATCGATTGACCAATAGTCCCAGATTTGTTGTCTATTGGGCTACCATCCATCCCATCCCACTTCTTGATCCCAACTCCCATTGATCTAACCGTTTGATCCTTCTGCATGCCTCATCCTCCACAAGTACATGCGCGCACATGTGGTGCCGTCGTCACTGCAGGAGCAGGTGCAGGCGCACCTGAAGCTTCACTTCGACACCGCGGAGGTGAGTGGGTAGGAGAATGTGGGGGTGACTTGAGGGACGCATTGTGAAGCTGAGTAGGGCATGTGGCAGAGGTGAGCGGGTGGAGAGGAGTCGAAGTGCAGGCGCACCTCAAGCTGCGCCTGGACACTGCAGAGGTGAGAGGGAGGGCATAGCAAAGAGTTCTAGGGGGTTTCGTGTGGCGGTGGGTGAATGGGTGCAGAGGCCAGCGGGATGGTGTGGACTCCAATCTCACTGCCCAGCTTCCCGGTGTTGTGTGTGTGCGCATCCATGTCGGCATGTGTATATGCGCCTGTGTGCATGTGTGCATGTGTACATGCATGTGTACATGTCTGCATGTGTGCACACGTGCGTGTATGTATGTGTGCATGCATGTGTGCGTGTGTGCATGCATGCAGGTGAGGGATGATGTGTTGTTGCACTGCCCATCATCCGTGCGCACGCTGGTGAAGCGCCACGTGTACTCGCGCTTCATCAACTCCTCCTACCTCTTCGCCGGCACCTCCAACGTCTTCCGCGTGAGTCACCACCTCCCATGCATATGCGTCCCCACCTATTCACCTGCTCCCACACGCCCCCTCCCACACGCCCCCTCCCATGCGACCCCTCCCATACTACTCACCTTGTATCCCTTTACCCATTGACCTGTATCACCCTTGTCTCCTGCATTCCACACTCAAGTATTTGCAGCAAAGCTGCTTGCGCCCACCTCATTGCATGCTCCCTTACTTACAATCATTTCAAATCCCTTCATCAATCCATCCTCATGTGTGTGTGTGTGTGTGTGTGTGTGTGTGTGTGTGTGTGTGTGTGTGTGTGTGTGTGTGTGTTGTGTGTGTGTGTGTGTGTGTGTGTGTGTGTTGTGTGTGTGTGTGTGTGTGTGTGTGTGTGTGTGTGTGTGTGTGTGTGTGTGTGTGCGTGCGCGTGTGCGCCTGCAGGACCAAGTGATAACGCGGGCCAATGTGGATTTCTTCTTGCCACACGTGGACCTGGTGGCAGCCGGCAACAGCACCACGGAGCTGCTCATCATTGCCTCGGGGCAGGCGCAGGAGCGTGCTTCATGGTGCACGCACTGGTGCGGTGTGGTGCGCCACAGTAAGGTGTGGTCAGAGGAACCTGAGAGCATGGTGAGGTGTGGTCAAAGGAACCACAGAGCATGGTGAGGTGGTAGCACCACGGAATTGCTCATTGTCGCGTCTGCTCCCACTCTCCCACCCTACAATGCCCACAACAGCCTCTCCATTTTTTCTGTTTCTCTGTTATCTCGCTCTCCCCCTTGCGCAGGTGCTAGTGCGTGACAAGGACGGCAACGAGATGCAGTGGTTCGTGCTGCACGAGGGGGGCTGCGTGGGAGGTGAGCCGCTTACTGCACGCTGACCGGCTGGGAGCGGGGAGGTGTGGGGAGTGCATGGTAGGCTTGAGCAGCAAGACGAACACCTGTTCGGATCGCCTCGAACGTGTTCGAGGTGAACTGAACACGTTCTTGTTTTGGCTTAAAATGTTCGTGGCGAACGTGTTCGGTGTTCGCCCGAACATGTTCGCTGTTCGGTTCGTCGCGGCAGCCGAGCCGTGTCGAACACGAACCTGTTCGTGTTCGTTTTCCAGCAGCGAGGAACACAAATGTGTTCGTCGCGAATGTCTTCTGATCGAAGGCGCCAAAGGCCATTTTCACCGTCAGATCTACGCGGATATGACATTTCGTCATCCAGACTGCGCGGATCTGGCATTTCGCCGTCATATATGCGCGGATCTGACATTTCGCCGTCGTTTTGGAGTCGGAGGCGAACACGAACGTGTTCGTTTCAAACACGTTCGTGTTCGCCCCGGGAGTACGTTCACTATGTTCTCACATGGCAGATTTTGTGTCCCCCCCCCCCCCCCCCCCCCCCCCTCTCCCCCCACCCCCGTCCTGCCATCTGATCTGACAGCGAAATGTCATATCCGTGCGTAACTGACGGCGAAATGCCATATCCGCGCATATCTGACGACAGAATGTCAGATCCGCGCATATCTGACGGCGAAATGTCAGATCCGCTCATATCTGACGGCGAAATGTCAGATCCGCGCATATTAAACGACGAAATGTCAGATCCGCGCATATCTGACGGCGAAATGCCATATCCATGCATATCTGACGGCAAAATGCCATATCCGCGCATATCTGACGACGGAATGTCAGATCCGCGCATATCTGACGGCGAAATGTCAGATCCGCGCATATCTGACGGCGAAATGTCAGATACGCGCATATCTGACGGTGAAATGTCAGATCCGCGCATATCTGATGGCGAAGTGCCAGATCCGCGCAGATCTGACGGTGAAAATGGCCCTTGGCGCCTTCGATCAGAGGACATTCGCGACGAACACATTCGAGTTCGACGCGGCTCGGCTGCCGCGACGAACCGATCAGCGAACATGTTCGGGCGAACACCGAACACGTTCGCCACGAACATTTTAAGCCAAAGAAAAAACATGTTCGGTTAGCCTCGAGCACGTTCGAATCGAACCGAACAGGTGTTCGTCTTGCTGCTCAAGCCTAGTTGGCAAGGATGAGAGCATGCGGAAAGAGTTCTGTTGGGTTGGCATAAGGAAAGGTGGTATCTGGTGTGGATGGTATCCAGCTTATCCCACCCGATTCTCAGATTGCATTCCTGTGCCAATGCGGTTTCTTACTCCCCACATTCCCCTGCCAGAGATCGCCTTCCTGTACGACCTCACAGACCTGTGGACGGTGCGAACGCTGTCGGTGTCATTCCATACCCAGCTAAATGGCGATGTGCTGCCCTACCCCCTCCCTCTCCACCCCCCTCAGAGATCGCCTTCCTGTGTGACCTCACGGAGCTGTGGACGGTGCGCACGCTGTCGGTGTGTCGGGTGCTCTCCATCTCACGAGACGACTACCGCTCCGTGGCTCGCACCCACCCCGCTGACGACCGCCACGTCATCACCAACCTGCTCAACCGGTGAGAGTGGTTGGGTGATCCACGCACAGTGTCATATCCTGTTCAACCATGGCATTCTGTTGTGGCGCGCACGCACCCCGCTGACGACCGCCATGTCATTGCCAACCTGCTCTGTCGGTGGGTGCTGTATAGTCACGAGCATTAGAACTTTTTTGTCAAAACGGTTGGACTCGAACCGACAAGAGATCACTCGGAACTGTTTGGTTCGGTTCTTCTTATCCAGACGAAGCGCATTGAACTGAACCGGTTCGACTTGTTTCGAGGTTCAACACAAAGAAGACAGTGTGGCTCGGGCCGTACCTACTTTTCTCTTAAACCCTCGGCCCCTCGCATGGGTTTATATATATAATCCTTGCCTGCCCTCCCCCCACGCTCTTCATCACCCCAAGCGCCACATCACATCTTTTCCACCCACTCCTCCCCTGCCCCCGCGACCTGTGCAGGGTGCGCAGCAGGGCGGAGGCGACGGCCCGGTTCTACCCCGGCAACAGCACCATGGCAGAGCTGTCTCTGCTGCTCAAGAACGAGGTCGAGGTGAGGTGGTGGGGGGGGAGCGGCATGGCAGCATGGCAGGGGAGATACAAGGGGGTGTGACCTCGGGATGGGCACCCGAAACCTACCTACCCCATTCTCTCGTTCTCCTTTCGTCTGCCCCCCTGACCTTACTCACTGTGCCGTGCACTCTCTGTCAGTCCTGCCATGCACTGTGTGTTTAGCCCATGCACTGTGTGTTTAGCCTGTGCACTGTGTGTTTAGCCCTTGCACTGTGTGTTTAGCCCGTGCACTGTGTGTTTAGACCGTGCACTGTGTGTTTAGCCCTTGCACTGTGTGTTTAGCCCTTGCACTGTGTGTTTAGCCCGTGCACATTAGTTCAGTGGGTGCAGCAAGAGACTTCAGCAACGAGTCCATTTCGTTCTGTTGTTCATCTCCCTCTACCCCACATCTCCCTCTACCCCACATCTCCACATTCCGCCTGCCCACCTCACTCCCTCACTTCCACCTTCTTCGCCTACCTGCCTCCCTCACTCATCATTCCTCTGTGTCAACCCTTGCACAGTCAGCTCCGTTGCTGCAGCAAGTGTCCGTTTCCTGCTGCTTTTCATTTCCCTCAACCCCAACTTTCCACATTCTGCCTGCACAACCCGTACCCATTCTACTGTTCTTCTCCACACCTCCCTGCTGCTCTCTTCCACCCACCAATCACCGACTGGTACAGGAGTCGCTTGTGAACCGACTGGTACAGGAGTCGCTCGTGAACCGACTGGTACAGGAGTCGCTCGTGAACCGACTGGTACAGGAGTCGCTCGTGAACCGACTGGTACAGGAGTCGCTTGTGAACCGACTGGTACAGGAGTCGCTCGTGAACGTGTGCTACGCGGCAACCCCTCTCCCCGCCTCGTGGCATTCTAGAGTCTTAAGCACAATCCCCTCCCCCATCCGCCACCCTGACCCACCTCTCCCCGCCCGCCAGTCCAGTCGTTCCACCACCGTCTGGTGCAGGAGACGCTGATGGACGTGCTTTGCCGCCCAAAGGGGTACATTCTAGGGTCGAACCCCAACTCTTTCCTTCCACCCCTCTCCTCCCAACCCCTCAGTCGTTCCGCAACCGGCTGGTGCAGGAGACGCTGATGAACTTGTGCTACGCGGCCAAGCTTGGCGACATGCTGGAGTGCTTCCGCCTCGCTGCAGGCGGCTTTGATGTGGCGGCTGCTGACTACGATGGCCGCACGCCCATGGTTTTTTTTTAATAGAAGGCTTTTCACTATATCAGGGATACAGCAAAAGGGGCCACAGTCGTAACTGTTGAGGGGAGGGGGGCAATTACACGACAATGGTGAGATGGCCGCACGCCCATGGTGAGATGGCCGCACGCCCATGGTGAGATGGCCGCACGCCCATGGTGAGATGGCCGCACGCCCATGGTGAGATGGCCGCACGCCCATGGTGAGATGGCCGCACGCCCATGGTGAGATGGCCGCACGCCCATGGTGAGATGGCCGCACGCCCATGGTGAGATGGCCGCATGCCCATGGTGAGATAAATGAGTGTGAGATGAGTGCAGAAGTTGTTTCGTTGGCTAATCAGGTTGTTTCAGCCAAGAACGCCTTCTGACCTCCTTTCCCCACCACACCACACCATGTCCTCCTCCCCCTTCCCCACTCTCCCCTCATCCCCTTCCATGTTATCCAGCACCTAGCAGCAGTGACAGGGCAGGACAAGGTGGTGCCGTCTGACCTCCTTCCCCCACACCATGTCCCCTCTCTCCCCCGCACTTTCCCTCTCCTCTATTCCCCCCTCCCCTCCACCAGCACCTAGCGGCAGTGACAGGGCAGGACAAGGTGGTGCAATTCCTGCTGGCCCATGGAGCACAAGTGAACGCCAAGGACGCCTTCTGGCGCACCCCCCTGCAGGAGGCTGTTGCTGCCGGCCACTGGAGCACCGCTGAGATCCTCCGCAGGTCAGTGTGCCGCCCACCGCCCACCTCTCTCTGCCACTTCTCTGCCACTTCTCTGCCAATGCTCTGCCAATGCTCTGCCAATGCTCCTCGGATCGGAAGGCAAAAGCTCAGCCCGCCCTGCTCTGTTCTGCCGTACCATGTGTAGTGTGCCCTCCTTGCCCCTCACGTGCTGGCACTCCACTTCCCTGTCCCTTCTCTTGCACTCCCCTACTTCTCCGCTTCCTATCTTTCACTACTCCCCCTCTCTCTCCAACGCCGCCTTGCCTCTCTCCCCACTTCGCCCCCCCCATCCCTCCCACATCTCCTCCCAGCCACCAGGGAATGACCCGGCCGCGCAATCACCGGAAGCACACGTGCCATCTCGCCTGCTCCACCACCACCCCAACCACCCGGCGCGCCTTTCACTCCCCCTCCCTTCCCCCCTTCCAGTCGTGCAGGTGAGCCCATCCACACATTCATGCGCACACGCAAGGAACTCAAGGCACTCGCCTGTGACGACTTATCGGTCCCTTGCACGGGAAGGGATGCCAGCACCCGGGCCCATGTTGCCCATGCTGCTTCACACTCCTTTCACTCCACTCGCACGTCCCCTCGCCTCTCCCCCTCTCTTCTCCACCTGCTCTTTTCCTATCCACTCCCCTTCTCTTCCCCCATCCAGTCGCCCTCACCAAGCTTCACCATGCAAACAGACAAGCGCCCTTGTGCACACCCCAGCCTAGCCGCTTAATTCGAGGCATCCCTTGAGTCGTGCTGCGTGGCCAGCTCCGCCCACCAGGGCATGCACCACCAGGGCATGCACCACCAGGGCATGCACCACCAGGGCATGCACCACCAGGGCATGCACCACCAGGGCATGGACCACCAGGGCATGCCACCTAATGCTTCCGCTGCTGTCCTGCCTATCGCGCGCCCCGGGCGCGCGACGTGTTCTGCTTGCCGCGCGCTCGGGTGCACGGCGTATTTTTCATCCAGCCGCGCGCTCGGGGCGCGCGGCGGTTTTCTGCCCGCCGTGCGCCCCGAGGCGCGCGGCGGTTTTCTGCCCCGTCGATCCGCGCGTCGCCCCCCGTCGCCCGTCGCAGCGCCCCCGGGGACCCGCGCGTCGCCCCCCGTCGCCCGCGCGCGGCCCGTACAGCCCGCGCGCGGCCCGTACGGCCTGCGCCAGGCCCGCGCGCGGCCCGTACGGCCTGCGCCAGGCCCGCGCGCGGCTCGTACGGGCTGCGCCAGGCCCGCGCGCGGCTCAGGCAGCCCGCGCGCGGTTCGTCCGGCCTGCGCCAGGCCCGTGAGCGGCCCGTACCGTCTGCCCCAGTGCCGCACGCCGTCCCCCGAGCTTGTGACCGCACTCCTGTGTTAGGGTTTGGGGGTGGAGAGTATGGGGGTGCCGTGTGTGTGAGCCGTCCCCTGCTCCTCCTCCTCCTCCGTCTCCCACTGCTGCAGCTGCCGCTGAGAGGGGTGGATGTGTTGGAGCCGTCGGAGTGGTACGAGGGGGGTGGCGTGTGAGCGGTGCTAGTGGTTCAGCAGGGGGTGTGTGAAAGGGGTGTGGGACAGTTGGGGGAGGTTGACCGGAGGTAGCCGACTTGTCGTCCGCAGCGCCTGAAGTCCAGAGAGCCACGGCCCCCTGTGGCCGTGTAGTCCGGGGCTCTGCGCCCGGTAGCCACAGTGTGAGCACTCCTGGTAGTCCAGAGAGCCACGACCCCCTGTGGCCGTGTAGTCCGGGGCTCTGCGCCCGGTAGCCACAGTGTGAGCACTCCTGGGAGCACAGTGAGCCAGCTGCGCCTGTCGCCGTGTAGCCCGGGTTTAGCCTGGTAGCGTCAGTGCTGCGCACTCCTGTTGCCCGTGTGTCTGCAGCTTCAGCCGTCGCCTCTCATCTTCTCGTCCTCCATAGTTTCTCCTCCTCCTCACTTGCCCTCTGTGATAGCCTCTAGCTTTGCTTATCCTTGTGAACTATTGCACTGCCTGCTTGTTGTGTTGATTGTACCCCACTTTGACTATGGGGGTGTGTCAGAATGTCGATGTTTGTCTAGCCTGCAGTGGGGTACTCTATAGCGAGTACAACCCAATTAGGGTTTCCTATATGTATCTCCACTGCTGCTAGTGAAAACCCCTTCTTCCTGTTTGTCGTTTTCGCCTGCTGTTTCGACATTCTCGTCTAGTGGGGATTGAACCAAATACTTGTCAAAGTAAAGCAGCTGGGTTTAGGGTAACCTATCTGGGGGTCGTCAAATGTGGAGGGGAAAAAAGGGGGTTGGCGCGGGGGGGGGGGGGGGGGGGGGGGGGGGGGGGGGGGGAGGGAAGGAGGGAGGAGATCCAGGGGATTACAACAGCTGCATGCTCACGATAGGAACTGATGGACCCTGAATTTGCTATGCTCATGCTGGCCACAAAGATATTGGGTTGAATCCATGATTAACGGTTCTGCGTATCTCTAGTTCATTACAAGAATGTATACACCATATCAGCACCATCAGTCCTGCTTCACACTCGCAACGCTAGGAGAGCTGCGCGTGCTGCTGCTCTTCTGCCCGCCACTCTGATCTGGAGACACCATTGGCGATAATGTTGTAGCGCTACCTTGCTCTCTGGCACCAAAGTACCCTCCACCTCTCACAGCAGTGTCAACTGATGCAGCCGTTGCAGATGGTGTCACCACAACCAACGAATCAGCAAAACCTGTCACGCTGCGCGCTCCCGCATCCCCCCTTTCCTTGCCGGATTCACGAATGAGGGCAGCCGAAACAGTTGAAGCAAGCTCAACTCCGCCACCATCCCCCCTACCCCTACCGGCAGCACTACTACTACTACTACTACTACTACTGGTACAACTGCTGGAATCTGCAGCAGGAGCATCGGAAGGTCGCACAGTCACGGCAGGAGGTTCAAGAACCGGTGCATTTGCTGCTGGTTGTCTCTCAGTAGCTTGGCTTGGCAGCATGACCCTTGCCTTGGTCTCTGATGCAAGTGCGGCCGTGCCGGAAGGAATGGGAGAATGGGCTAGTGGCGAGGCGGTAGTGGGAGGAGAGGGTGCAGTGGGGGAGGAAGGTGCAACAGCAGAGGCCACAGCAGGAGGAGCGGCAGGAGACAGAGGAAGGGCACGAGGAGGAGGAATCGGGCTGGCGTGGGATGACGAAGCAGCAGCAGGAGGAGGAAGAGGAGGAGGAGCAGCAGGAGTATTTGCAGGAGAACCAGCAGCTGGAGCAGGAGCAGCGGCAGCAGGAGCAGAAGGGTGAGGGGTGGGGGAGCGGGGGCTGGGAGTGGGGGTGGCGGAGGCAGCGGCGCGCAGCAGAGTGGCGACCACCACGGTGTGGTTGTTGTCCCTCGCCTCGTCCATGGGCGTGCGCTGCCACCGGTCCCGCACACTTGGGCTCGCCCCTCCCTGCAGCAGAACCTGGTTGACAGGGGTTGGGTTCAGGGCATGGGGTTTGGGGTTCAGGATTTGAAACCAAGGATTTGGGCCTTGGAATGTGGGTTTATGGGAAGCCTAACGAGTGGGTGTGGTTGTTGTCCCTCGCCTCGTCCATGGCTGTGCGCTACCACCGGTCGCGCACACTCGGGTTCAGTGTTTAAAGAAGGAAGTTAGACCTGGCATGATTTCCGTTGCTTGCGGTGTCCCCGTGTGCCCCCCACATCTGGGGCTCTCAGACCTTGCCGCAGAACCTGAATCATGTTGATATGCAAGTCACGTGCACTCACCTTGCCTGACCTGGACTCGCATTGAATCTTCTTGACCCACCTGGACCACGTTGAGATGGGCCTGGGTAGCAGACACATGCAGAACATGTGATGTGCCCATCATAGTCAGCCCCGTTGAATCCCATACCACAATCACCTTGACTCCCATTGATCCCCTTTGACTCGTGTTGACCCACCTTGACCACGTTGAGGTGCCCCTCAGCAGCAGCCACATGCAGCGCGGTGCGGCCGTCGTAGTCAGCGGAGTTTGGGTCGGCGCCGAACTCCAGCAGCCGCGCCAGCTGGTGCGAGTTGGACGAGCTGGCCAGGCGGCACAGATGCGTGCCCTGGTTGCGCAGATGCAGCTCGCCCCCGTTGCTGCAGGGGGACGGGGAGAAGGGGACAAAGGGAGAGGAAGAGAGATGGAGAGGGGGAGAAGGGACGGGTCAAGAGGGGTAAGGAGCATGGGGGTGGGGATAAGCTGGGATGTGATCTGTGAGCAGTGGCAACTGGGCCAGCTGGTGCGAGTTGGACGAGCTGGCGAGGCGGCACAGGTGCAACTCGCCATCGTTGCTGCAGAACCGATCACCACTGCAGCAGCACAGACAGGTGGTGCATGCCCTGGTGGGCGGAGCTGGCCACGCAGCACGACTCAAGGGATGCCTCGAATTGAGCGGCTAGGCTGGGAATTGCACAAGGGCGCTTGTGTGTTTGCATGGTGAAGCTTGGTGAGGCCGACTGGATGGGGGAAGAGAAGTGGAGTGGATGGGAAAAGAGCAGGTGGGGAAGAGGAGGGGGAGAGGCGAGGGGACGTGCGAGTGGAGTGAAAGGAGTGTGAAGCAGCATGGGCAGCCTGGGCTCGGGTGCTTGCATCCCTTCCAGTGCACGGGACCGATAAGTCGTCACGGGTGGGTGCCTTGAGTTCCTTGCGTGTGCGCATGAATGTATGGATGGGCTCACCTGCACGACTGGAAGGAGGGGAGGGAGGGGGAGTGAAAGGCGCGCCGGGTGGTTGGGGTGGTGGTGGAGCAGGCGAGGTGGCACGTGTGCTTCCGGTGATGGCGCGGCTGGGTCATTCCCTGGTGGCTGGGAGGAGATGTGGGAGGAGATGTGGGAGGGATGGGGGGGGCGAAGTGGGGAGGAAGGCGGCGTTGGAGAGAGAGGGAGAGTAGTGAAAGATAGGAAGTGGAGAAGTAGGGGAGTGCAAGAGAAGGGAAGAGGGAAGTGGAGTGCCAGCACGTGAGGGGCAAGGAGGGCACACGTGACATGAGGGGCAAGGAGGGCACACGTGACATGAGGGGCAAGGAGGGCACACGTGACATGAGGGGCAAGGAGGGCACACGTGACATGAGGGGCAAGGAGGGCACACGTGACATGAGGGGCAAGGAGGGCACACGTGACATGAGGGGCAAGGAGGGCACACGTGACATGAGGGGCAAGGAGGGCACACGTGACATGAGGGGCAAGGAGGGCACACGTGACATGAGGGGCAAGGAGGGCACACGTGACATGAGGGGCAAGGAGGGCACACGTGACATGAGGGGCAAGGAGGGCACACGTGACATGAGGGGCAAGGAGGGCACACGTGACATGAGGGGCAAGGAGGGCACACGTGACATGAGGGGCAAGGAGGGCACACTACTACACATGGTACGGCAGAGCAGAGCAGGGCGGGCTGAGCTTTTGCCTTCCGATCCGAGGAGCATTGGCAGAGCATTGGCAGAGCATTGGCAGAGCATTGGCAGAGCATTGGCAGAGAAGTGGCAGAGAAGTGGCAGAGAGAGGTGGGCGGTGGGCGGCACACTGACCTGCGGAGGATCTCAGCGGTGCTCCAGTGGCCGGCAGCAACGGCCTCCTGCAGGGGGGTGCGCCAGAAGGCGTCCTTGGCGTTCACCTGCGCTCCATGGGCCAGCAGGAACTGCACCACCTTGTCCTGCCCTGTCACTGCTGCTAGGTGCTGGTGGAGGGGAGGGGGGAATAGAGGAGAGGGAAAGCGGGGGGGAGAGAGGGGACATGGTGTGGGGGAAGGAGGTCAGACGGCACCACCTTGTCCTGCCCTGTCACTGCTGCTAGGTGCTGGATAACATGGAAGGGGATGAGGGGACAGTGGGGAAGGGGGAGGAGGACATGGTGTGGTATGGTGGGGAAAGGAGGTCAGAAGGCGTTCTCGGCTGAATCAACCTGATTAGCCAGTGAAACAACTCCCTGCACTCATCTCACACTCATTTATCTCACCATGGGCGTGCGGCCATCTCACCATGGGAGTGCGGCCATCGTAGTCAGCGGCCGCCACATCAAAGCCGCCAGCAGCGAGGCGGAAGCACTCCAGCATGTCGCCACGCTTGGCAGCATAGCACAGGTTCATCAGCGTCTCCTGCACCAGCCGGTTGCGGAACGACTGAGGGGGGGGGAGGAGAGGGGTGGAAGGAAAGGGTTGGGGTTCGACCCTAGAATGTACCCATTTGGGCGGCGTAGCACAGGTCCACCAGCGTCTCCTGCACCAGACGGTGGCGTCCGCCACTGAACCAATAAATGGTTCCGAAGGACTGGACAGGCAGGCAGGGAGAGGTGGGTCAGGGTGGTGGATGGGGGAGGGGACTGGGCTTAAGACTCTAGAATGCCACGAGGCGGGGAGAGGGGTTGCCGCGTAGCACACGTTCACGAGCGACTCCTGTACCAGTCGGTTGCGGAAGAATTGGTGGGTGGAAGAGAGCAGCAGGGAGGTGTGGAGAAGAACAGTACAATGGGTACGGGTTGTGCAGGCAGAATGTGGAAAGATGGGGGTGAGGGACTTGAAAAGCAGCAGGAAACGGACACTTGCTGCAGCAACGGAGATGACTGTGCAAGGGTTGACACAGAGGAATGATGAGTGAGGGAGGCGGGTAGGTGAAGAAGGTGGAAGTGAGGGAGTGAGGTGGGCAGGCGGAATGTGGAGATGTGGGGTAGAGGGAGATGTGGGGTAGAGGGAGATGTGGGGTAGAGGGAGATGTGGGGTAGAGGGAGATGTGGGGTAGAGGGAGATGTGGGGTAGAGGGAGATGAACAGCGGAACGCAATGGACTCGTTGCAGAAGTCTCTTGCTGCACCCACGGGCTAAACACACAGTGCAAGGGCTAAACACACAGTGCACGGGCTAAACACACAGTGCACGGGCTAAACACACAGTGCACGGGCTAAACACACAGTGCACGGGCTAAACACACAGTGCAAGGGCTGAACACACAGTGCACGGGCTAAACACACAGTGCACGGGCTAAACACACAGTGCACGGGCTAAACACACAGTGCACGGCAGGGCGGACAGAGAGTGCACGGCACAGTGAGTAAGGTGAGGGGGGCAGACGAAAGGAGAACGGGAGAATGGGGTAGGTAGGTTTCGGGTGCCCATCCCGAGGTCACACCCCCTTGTATCCCCCCTGCCATGCTGCCATGCTGCCATGCCGCTCCCCTCCCACCACCTCACCTCGACCTCGTTCTTGAGCAGCAGAGACAGCTCCGCCATGGTGCTGTTGCCGGGGTAGAACCGGGCCGTCGCCTCCGCCCTGCTGCGCGCCCTGCACAAGTCGCGAGGGCAGGGGAGGAGTGGGTGGAAAATATGTGATGTGGCGCTTGGGATGATGAAGAGCGTGGGGGGAGGCAATGATTATTTATATAAACCCATGCGAGGGGCCGAGGGTTTAAGAGAAAAGTAGGTACGGCCCGAGCCACACTGGCTTCGTTGCGTTGAACCTCGAAACAAGTCGAACCGGTTCGGTTCAATGCGCTTCGTCTGGATAAGAACCGAACCAAACAGTTCCAAGTGATCTCTTGTCGGTTCGAGTCCAACCGTTTTGACAAAAAGGTTCTATGCTCTCATGACGATACAGCACCCACCGGTTGAGCAGGTTGGCAATGACGTGGCGGTCGTCAGCGGGGTGCGTGCGAGCCACAGAGCGGTAGTCGTCTCGTGAGATGGAGAGCACCCGACACACCGATAGCGTGCGCACCGTCCACAGCTCCGTGAGGTCGCACAGGAAGGCAATCTCTAAGGAGGGTGGAGAGGGAGGGGGTAGGGCAGCACATCGGCGTTTAGCTGGGTATGGAACGACACCGACAGCCTTCGCACCGTCCACAGGTCTCTGAGGTCGCACAGGAAGGCGATCTCTGGCGGGGGGATGTGGGGAGTAAGAAACTGCATTGGCACAGGAATGCAATCTGAGATTCGGGTGGGATAAGCTGGATACCATCCACTCCAGATACCACCTTTCCTTATGCCAACCCAACTGAACTCTTTCCGCATGCTCTCATCCTTGCCAACTAGGCTTGAGCAGCAAGACGAACACCTGTATTCGAGGCGAACCGAACAGGTTTTTGTTTGGCTCAAAATGTTCGTGGCCAACGTGTTCGGTGTTCGCCCGAATATGTTCGCTATCCGGTTCGTCGCGGCAGCCGAGCCGCGTCGAACACGAACCTGTTCGTGCTCGTTTTCCAACAATGTAAGTTTGTCGCGAATGTCCTCTGATCAAACACGCCAAATGCCATTTTTGCCGTCAAATCTGCGCGGATATGGCATTTCGCCATCCAGACTGCGCGGATCTGGCATTTCGCCGTCAAATATGCGCGGATTGACATTTCGCCATCAGATATGTGCGGATCTGACATTTCGCCGTCAAATATGCGCGAATCTAACATTTCGCTGTCAGATATGCGAGGATCTGACATTTCGTCGTCAGATATGCGCGGATCTGACATTTCGCCGTAAGATATACGCGGATCTGACATTTCGCCATCAAATATGCGCGGATCTGACATTTCGCCGTCAGATATGCGCGGATCTGACATTCCGCCGTCAGATATGCGCGGATATGGCATTTCGCCGTCAGATATGCGCGGATATGGCATTTCGCCGTCAGATATGCGCGGATATGGCATTTCGCCGTCACATATGCGCGGATATGGCATTTCGCCATCAGATATGCGCGGATATGTCATTTCGCTGTCAGATCAGATGGCAGGAGGGGGGAGGGGGGGTGTGTTGATACTGCCATGTGTGAACATAGTGAACGTACTCCCGGGGCGAACACGAACGTGTTTGAAACGAACACGTTCGTGTTCGCCTCCAACACCAAAGTGTTCACCTTCACAGGCGAACGCCGAACACCTTTGCTCGGTTCGCACAAATCTGACGGCGAAATGCCATATCCGCGCATATCTGACGGCGAAACGCCATATCCGCACATATCTAACGGCGTCAGATCCGCGCACATATGACGGCGAAATGTCAGATCTGCGCGTATCTGACTGCGAAATGTCAGATCCGCGCATATCTGACGGCGAAATGTCAAATCCGCGCATATCTGACGGCGAAATGTCAGATCCGCGCATATCTGACGGCGAAATGTCAGATCCGCGCATATCTGATGGCGAAATGCCAGATCCGCGCAGTCTGGATGGCGAAATGCCATATCCGTGCAGATCTGACGACGATGAAAATGGCCTTTGGCGCCTTCGATCAGAGGACATTCGCGACGAACACATTTGTGTTCGTCGCTGCTGGAAAACAAACACGAACAGGTTCGTGTTCGACGCGTCGGCTGCCGCGACGAACCGAACAGCGAACATGTTCAAGCGAACACCGAACACGTTCGCCAAGAACATATTCGAGGCGAACCGAACAGGTGTTCGGTTGCTGCTCAAGCCTACCATGCACTCCCCACACCTCCCCATGCACTCCCCACACCTCCCCATGCACTCTCCACACCTCCCATGCACTCCCCACACCTCCCCGCTCCCAGCCGGTCAGCGTGCAGTAAGCGGCTCACCTCCCACGCAGTCCCCCTCGTGCAGCACGAACCGAACAACGAACATGTTCAAGCGAACACCGAACACGTTCGCCAAGAACATATTCGAGGCGAACCGAACAGGTGTTTGATTGCTGCTCAAGCCTACCATGCACTCCCCACACCTCCCCATGCACTCCCCACACCTCCCCATGCACTCTCCACACCTCCCATGCACTCCCCACACCTCCCCGCTCCCAGCCGGTCAGTGTGCAGTAAGCGGCTCACCTCCCACGCAGTCCCCCTCGTGCAGCACGAACCACTGCATCTCGTTGCCGTCCTTGTCACGCACTAGCACCTGCGCAATGGGGAGGGCGAGATAACAGAGAAACAGAAAAAATGGAGAGGTTGTTGTGGGCATTGTAGGGTGGGAGAGTGGGAGCAGACGCGACGATGAGCAGTTCCGTGGTGCTACCACCTCACCATGCTCTCTGGTTTCTCGGACCACGCCTCACCATGCTCTCTGGTTTCTCGGACCACGCCTCACCATGCTCTCTGGTTTCTCGGACCACACCTCACCATGCTCTCTGGTTTCTCGGACCACGCCTCACCATGCTCTCTGGTTCCTCTGACCACGCCTCACCATGCTCTCTGGTTCCTCTGACCACGCCTCACCATGCTCTCTGGTTCCTCTGACCACGCCTCACCATGCTCTCTGGTTCCTCTGACCACGCCTCACCATGCTCTCTGGTTCCTCTGACCACGCCTCACCATGCTCTCTGGTTCCTCTTACCACAATGTGCCGCACCACACCACACGACTGCGTGCACCATGAATCGCTCACCTGCGCCTGCCCCGAGGCAATGATAAGCAGCTCCGTGGTGCTGTTGCCTGCTGCCACCAGGTCCACGTGCGGCAGGAAGAAATCCACATTGGCCCGCGTTGTCACTTGGTCCTGCGCCCATGCACACAAGCACACATGGGGACGGATTGATGGAGGGATGGGGGGTGGGAAGGGTTTTGAAAGTGATTGTGAGTAAGGGAGCATGCAATGGGGTGGGCGCAAGCAGCTTTGCTGCAGATACTTGAGTGTGGGATACAGGAGACAAGGGTGATACAGGTCAATGGGTAAAGGGATACAAGGTGAGTAGTATGGGAGGGGGCGTGTGGGAGGGGGCGTGTGGGAGGGGGCGTGTGGGAGGGGGCGTGTGGGAGGGGGCGTGTGGGAGGGGGCGTGTGGGAGGGGGCGTGTGGAGGGGGCGTGTGGGAGGGGGCGTGTGGGAGGGGGCGTGTGGGAGGGGGCGTGTGGGAGGGGGCGTGTGGGAGGGGGCGTGTGGGAGGGGGCGTGTGGGAGGGGGCGTGTGGGAGGGGGCGTGTGGGAGGGGGCGTGTGGGAGGGGGCGTGTGGGAGGGGGCGTGTGGGAGGGGGCGTGTGGGAGGGGGCGTGTGGGAGGGGGCGTGTGGGAGGGGGCGTGTGGGAGGGGGCGTGTGGGAGGGGGCGTGTGGGAGGGGGCGTGTGGGAGGGGGCGTGTGGGAGGGGGCGTGTGGGAGGGGGCGTGTGGGAGGGGGCGTGTGGGAGGGGGCGTGTGGGAGGGGGCGTGTGGGAGGGGGCGTGTGGGAGGGGGCGTGTGGGAGGGGGCGTGTGGGAGGGGGCGTGTGGGAGGGGGCGTGTGGGAGGGGGCGTGTGGGAGGGGGCGTGTGGGAGGGGGCGTGTGGGAGGGGGCGTGTGGGAGGGGGCGTGTGGGAGGGGGCGTGTGGGAGGGGGCGTGTGGGAGGGGGCGTGTGGGAGGGGGCGTGTGGGAGGGGGCGTGTGGGAGGGGGCGTGTGGGAGGGGGCGTGTGGGAGGGGGCGTGTGGGAGGGGGCGTGTGGGAGGGGGCGTGTGGGAGGGGGCGTGTGGGAGGGGGCGTGTGGGAGGGGGCGTGTGGGAGGGGGCGTGTGGGAGGGGGCGTGTGGGAGGGGGCGTGTGGGAGGGGGCGTGTGGGAGGGGGCGTGTGGGAGGGGGCGTGTGGGAGGGGGCGTGTGGGAGGGGGCGTGTGGGAGGGGGCGTGTGGGAGGGGGCGTGTGGGAGGGGGCGTGTGGGAGGGGGCGTGTGGGAGGGGGCGTGTGGGAGGGGGCGTGTGGGAGGGGGCGTGTGGGAGGGGGCGTGTGGGAGGGGGCGTGTGGGAGGGGGCGTGTGGGAGGGGGCGTGTGGGAGGGGGCGTGTGGGAGGGGGCGTGTGGGAGGGGGCGTGTGGGAGGGGGCGTGTGGGAGGGGGCGTGTGGGAGGGGGCGTGTGGGAGGGGGCGTGTGGGAGGGGGCGTGTGGGAGGGGGCGTGTGGGAGGGGGCGTGTGGGAGGGGGCGTGTGGGAGGGGGCGTGTGGGAGGGGGCGTGTGGGAGCAGGCGAATAGGTGGGGGGGCATGGGCAAGGGAGGCGGTGACTCACGCGGAAGACGTTGGAGGTGCCGGCGAAGAGGTAGGAGGAGTTGACGAAGCGCGAGTACACGTGGCGCTTCACCAGCGTGCGCACGGATGATGGGCAGTGCAACAACACATCGTCCCGCACCTGTTTGCATGCATGCACACACGCACACATGCATGGACACATACATGCACACGTGCACACACGCGTGCACACATGCAAACATGTACACATGCATGCACACATGCACACAGGCACATATACGCATGCCAACATGGATGCACACACACCCAACACCGGGAAGCTGGGCAGTGAGATTGGAGTCACACCATCCCGCTGGCCTCTGCACCCACTCACCCACCCCCACACGAAACCCCGTAGAACTCCTTCCTGTGCCCTCCCTCTCACCTCTGCAGTGCCAAAGTGCAGCAAGAGGTGCGCCTGCACTTCGACTCCTCTCCACCCGCTCACCTCTGCCGCATGCCTCACTCAGCTTCACAATGCGTCCCTCAAGTCACCCCCACATACCCCTAGCCACTCACCTCCGCGGTGTCGAAGTGCAGCTTGAGATGCGCCTGCACCTGCTCCTGCAGTGAAGCCGGCACCACATGTGCCCGCATGTACCTGGGGGGGATGAGGCATGCAGAAGGATCAAACGGGTAGATCAAGGAAAGTTGGGATCAAGAAGTGGGATGGGATGACCATTTGGATGGCGCCCCAAAAGCCAAGTTGGACCTATTAGTCAATCGATCATGCTGCCTAATTCAGCTTTGGTTGAGCCCATCCTTCCCCACTTATATGTCTGCCTGCCTTTCACTTGCATTTCTCTCAACAAGCACACATACCCGCGCACACACATTACACCTCCCCATCTCCTCCCCACACAAACAGCATGCAGGGCCCACCGGTTGATGGCGCTGAGGCGGTCGCGGTAGGTGGCGGTGTGGGCGTCGGCCTTGGTGAGCAGCACGGTCATGTTGCCCAGCACGTACGCCGTGAGGCCCAGATTCACCAGCATGAACAGTGCTGCCCAGATGCGCTCCGGTACTGTGAAGGCCGACAGGTCGCCGTAGCCTGCAGTGGGGGGTGGTAGGTTGAGTGGATGCTCTGAACAGGTGAATGCACTGAGGGAGAAAATGTACTGAGGGGGTGATTGTGCAAAGAGAGAGAATGCATTAAGGAGCGCTAAGGGAATGCACATATCAAGGGAGTGAATGCGCTGAGCAAGTGGGATTGAGTTGGGAGTCCTGTTGACAGGCAGGGTGGGCTGAAGTGAGGGGCTCGTGAATTGAGAAGTGAGGAAGAGCGAATTTATGGATGAACTCACATGCACTCACATGCACTCACATGCACTCACATGCACTCACATGCACTCACATGCACTCACATGCACTCACATGCACTCACATGCACTCACATGCACTCACATGCACTCACATGCACTCACATGCACTCACATGCACTCACATGCACTCACATGCACTCACATGCACTCACATGCACTCACATGCACTCACATGCACTCACATGCACTCACATGCACTCACATGCACTCACATGCATTCACATGCACTCACATGCACTCACATGCACTCACATGCATTCACATGCACTCACATGCATTCACATGCACTCACATGCATTCACATGCACTCACATGCACTTACATGCATTCACATGCACTCACATGCATTCACATGCACTCACATGCATTCACATGCACTCACATGCATTCACATGCACTCACATGCATTCACATTCACTCACATGCACTCACATGCACTCACATGCATTCACATGCACTCACATGCACTCACATGCATTCACATGCACTCACATGCATTCACATGCACTCACATGCACTCACATGCAGTCACATGCACTCACATGCACTCACATGCACTCACATGCACTCACATGCACTCACATGCACTCACATGCACTCACATGCACTCACATGCATTCACATGCACTCACATGCACTCACATGCACTCACATGCACTCACATGCATTCACATGCAACTCACATGCACTCACATGCACTCACATGCACTCACATGCACTCACATGCACTCACATGCATTCACATGCACTCACATGCACTCACATGCACTCACATGCACTCACATGCACTCACATGCACTCACATGCACTCACATGCACTCACATGCACTCACATGCACTCACATGCACTCACATGCACTCACATGCACTCACATGCATTCACATGCACTCACATGCACTCACATGCACTCACATGCACTCACATGCATTCACATGCACTCACATGCACTCACATGCACTCACATGCACTCACATGCACTCACATGCACTCACATGCATTCACATGCACTCACATGCACTCACATGCACTCACATGCACTCACATGCACTCACATGCACTCACATGCACTCACATGCACTCACATGCATTCACATGCTCTCACATGCACTCACATGCACTCACATGCACTCACATGCACTCACATGCACTCACATGCATTCACATGCACTCACATGCACTCACATGCACTCACATGCACTCACATGCACTCACATGCACTCACATGCACTCACATGCACTCACATGCACTCACATGCACTCACATGCATTCACATGCACTCACATGCATTCACATGCACTGACATGCATTCACATGCACTCACATGCATTCACATGCACTCACATGCATTCACATGCACTCACATGCATTCACATGCATTCACATGCACTCACATGCACTCACATGCACTCACATGCATTCACATGCACTCACATGCATTCACATGCACTCACATGCATTCACATGCACTCACATGCACTCACATGCATTCACATGCACTCACATGCATTCACATGCACTCACATGCATTCACATGCACTCACATGCACTCACATACATTCACATGCACTCACATGCATTCACATGCACTCACATGCATTCACATGCACTCACATGCACTCACATGCACTCACATGCACTCACATGCATTCACATGCACTCACATGCATTCACATGCACTCACATGCATTCACATGCACTCACATGCACTCACATGCACTCACATGCACTCACATGCACTCACATGCATTCACATGCACTCACATGCACTCACATGCACTCACATGCACTCACATGCACTCACATGCACTCACATGCACTCACATGCACTCACATGCACTCACATGCACTCACATGCACTCACATGCATTCACATGCACTCACATGCACTCACATGCACTCACATGCACTCACATGCACTCACATGCATTCACATGCACTCACATGCACTCACATGCACTCACATGCATTCACATGCACTCACATGCATTCACATGCACTCACATGCACTCACATGCACTCACATGCACTCACATGCACTCACATGCACTCACATGCACTCACATGCACTCACATGCATTCACATGCATTCACATGCATTCACATGCACTCACATGCACTCACATGCACTCACATGCACTCACATGCACTCACATGCACTCACATGCACTCACATGCACTCACATGCACTCACATGCACTCACATGCATTCACATGCACTCACATGCATTCACATGCACTGACATGCATTCACATGCACTCACATGCATTCACATGCACTCACATGCATTCACATGCACTCACATGCATTCACATGCATTCACATGCACTCACATGCACTCACATGCACTCACATGCATTCACATGCACTCACATGCATTCACATGCACTCACATGCATTCACATGCACTCACATGCACTTACATGCATTCACATGCACTCACATGCATTCACATGCACTCACATGCATTCACATGCACTCACATGCATTCACATGCACTCACATGCACTCACATGCACTCACATGCATTCACATGCACTCACATGCATTCACATGCACTCACATGCACTCACATGCATTCACATGCACTCACATGCATTCACATGCACTCACATGCATTCACATGCACTCACATGCATTCACATGCACTCACATGCATTCACATGCACTCACATGCATTCACATGCACTCACATGCACTCACATGCACTCACATGCGCTCTCATGCACTCACATGCGCTCACATGCACTCACATGCCCTCACATGCACTCACATGCACTCACATGCACTCACATGAACTCACATGCATTCACATGCACTCACATGCACTCACATGCACTCACATGCACTCACATGCACTCACATGCACTCACATGCATTCACATGCACTCACATGCACTCACATGCACTCACATGCACTCACATGCACTCACATGCACTCACATGCACTCACATGCACTCACATGCATTCACATGCTCTCACATGCACTCACATGCACTCACATGCACTCACATGCACTCACATGCACTCACATGCATTCACATGCACTCACATGCACTCACATGCACTCACATGCACTCACATGCACTCACATGCACTCACATGCACTCACATGCACTCACATGCACTCACATGCACTCACATGCACTCACATGCACTCACATGCATTCACATGCACTGACATGCATTCACATGCACTCACATGCATTCACATGCACTCACATGCATTCACATGCACTCACATGCATTCACATGCATTCACATGCACTCACATGCACTCACATGCACTCACATGCATTCACATGCACTCACATGCATTCACATGCACTCACATGCATTCACATGCACTCACATGCACTCACATGCATTCACATGCACTCACATGCATTCACATGCACTCACATGCATTCACATGCACTCACATGCATTCACATGCACTCACATGCACTCACATGCATTCACATGCACTCACATGCATTCACATGCATTCACATGCACTCACATGCACTCACATGCACTCACATGCATTCACATGCACTCACATGCATTCACATGCACTCACATGCATTCACATGCACTCACATGCACTCACATGCACTCACATGCACTCACATGCACTCACATGCACTCACATGCACTCACATGCACTCACATGCACTCACATGCACTCACATGCACTCACATGCACTCACATGCACTCACATGCACTCACATGCACTCACATGCATTCACATGCACTCACATGCACTCACATGCACTCACATGCACTCACATGCATTCACATGCACTCACATGCACTCACATGCACTCACATGCACTCACATGCACTCACATGCACTCACATGCATTCACATGCACTCACATGCACTCACATGCACTCACATGCACTCACATGCACTCACATGCACTCACATGCACTCACATGCACTCACATGCATTCACATGCTCTCACATGCACTCACATGCACTCACATGCACTCACATGCACTCACATGCACTCACATGCATTCACATGCACTCACATGCATTCACATGCACTCACATGCACTCACATGCACTCACATGCACTCACATGCACTCACATGCACTCACATGCACTCACATGCACTCACATGCATTCACATGCACTCACATGCATTCACATGCACTCACATGCATTCACATGCACTCACATGCACTCACATGCACTCACATGCACTCACATGCACTCACATGCACTCACATGCACTTACATGCATTCACATGCACTCACATGCATTCACATGCACTCACATGCATTCACATGCACTCACATGCATTCACATGCACTCACATGCACTCACATACATTCACATGCACTCACATGCATTCACATGCACTCACATGCATTCACATGCATTCACATGCACTCACATGCACTCACATGCACTCACATGCATTCACATGCACTCACATGCATTCACATGCACTCACATGCATTCACATGCACTCACATGCACTCACATGCACTCACATGCACTCACATGCACTCACATGCATTCACATGCACTCACATGCACTCACATGCACTCACATGCACTCACATGCACTCACATGCACTCACATGCACTCACATGCACTCACATGCACTCACATGCATTCACATGCACTCACATGCATTCACATGCACTCACATGCACTCACATGCACTCACATGCACTCACATGCACTCACATGCATTCACATGCACTCACATGCACTCACATGCACTCACATGCACTCACATGCACTCACATGCACTCACATGCACTCACATGCACTCACATGCACTCACATGCACTCACATGCACTCACATGCATTCACATGCACTCACATGCATTCACATGCACTGACATG